CCTCCCTGGTGCTGGTCCTGGCCCCGCTGACCCCGCCCCCCTCCGGCCCGTCCAGGTCCTCGTAGGGCCCCCCGTAGAAGTCCTGCTCGGGGCAGGTGGTGGTGGAGGAGCGGCAGGAGGTGGAGTTGTCCGGCAGCGAGATCTCGCAGGAGGAGGTGGACCAGGTGGCGCTGTCCACGCTCTGCTTGTCCTCCGAACCGCCGCCGCCGCCGCCGTTCAGGCACGCGCTCGCCGTCCGGACCAGGTTCTGCTGGTTCAGCTGGACGTTGTCGTAGGTGGACAGCCGGTTCTGATTGGCCGTCTGGGCGCCGCCGTCCCGCGGCCGGCCGGCCTCCCGGAGCAGGACGCAGCCGTTCTGGACCCACGGCGCCGGGCGCCCGCCGGGGCTCCCGGGGACGACCACGCCATTCCCGGGGGGGCTGGCCCCGCCCCCCCCGCCCGCCACGCCCCCCGTGCCCATCTTGGTGCCTTTGAGGCCGCCGCCACGCCGCACGGGCGCGCCCCCGACAACGGTCAGGCTTTTCTCCAGGGCCGAATCCGAGGATGGCGAGGAGCTGAAGGAGCCGTTGGTGACGATGCCGCTGCCCTTGCTGAAGGCCGGGTTCTTCTTCACGGTCAGCGGCGGGCTGCGGGCGGCGTCCGGGCGCCGCCGGGGGCTCCCCGGCCGCGGCGAGCCGCCGTTGTCCAGCTGCTGCCCGCGGCGACGGCCGGCGGGCGACCCGGGCGCCTCCCACACGCACTGCCGAGGGGGGTGCGTGTGGTTGTTGTTGTTCTCGGCGTTCTGGGACGCCGTGTTGTTGTTGTTGGCGAGCTCCAGCGCCGTGGGGCTGTCGTCCTCGCCGTTGCCGGGGAAAAGCACGTCGTGGCGGCCGATCAAAACGGCCATGAGCTGCTGGACCAGGACGGTTCCTGAAACGCAGACACACACCCGAACGGCGCCATCAGCGGAGAGAAACCCACAAAAAAACAACAAAAACAAACGCTCAGCACACACCTTCCATTATCGTTACTGGATCCTCCATCTTGGGCCTCAGGATGTTGGGCCCAAACACCGTGGCCAGGTTCTGGACGCTCATTTTATTCACTCCTGAATACGACTGCACTTCATCCAGAAATCTTTTTTTTTTTAAAAAGAGGAAAAAAGGAAGGAAAGTTCTTAGAGATTTTTTCAGTTTGAACTGCATCCATCTGGACCTGGAACCAGTACCTGCAGATGTACTTGAGGAGGTTGTAGTTGACTGGAGGTAGACTTTCCACCAGCCTCTGGAGCTCCTTCACGCCCTGCAGAAGAACCGGGTCAGTCACAACAGCTGAAATATCTCCATATATCTATAATATTAGTTTTGTTCATAAGGCTGAAAACAGCAACTTGTCTTCCATAATTTAGGCCCATTCTCTATTGGAAAGATTTTCAGTTTCCACAGAAAAAAGCTCATTAAAAAGATCAGATCAGCCATCTGACGTGCACTTAGAGGCAGGATTTGTCTGGAACATCCAACCAAACCAGGTTTTACTTGACTAACTCTGAAATAGTTTAAACAAAGAAGTCGGTTCCTTCTTTATTTCAAAGGCTCTGAATGCTTTGAAAAAAAAAGAAAGAACAAAAAGGGGGGTCTTTTAAACAAAAACCTGTCGCAGTTGTGGATGCACGCTCATGCATATGAACAAAAACAGAAGCTCTACGAAGGCTAATGAAGGGCAGAATGTTTTGGACGCTGTGACCCCTATGCTGGGCAGAAATATGTCCAGCAGAAACCCCTCTCCTGCGTTGGCACACTAAAGGCATTGTGTGGGGACACAGTCAAGCAGATCGGGGACCAGATCTGTGCCACAAAACAAGACTTATGGGGTTGTCCAGGAAATGTGCTGTAAGATAAACTAAAATCACAGGTTTTAGGAGGGAAATACTATAAATTTAAAACTGTAAACTGTAAATTTATCTGCACACTTCACTTTTAATCTATTTAACCAAAGATTGTTTCATTTTGTTGAGCTCATTTTTATTTATTTTCTACTTTTAGACTCTTTGGAATAGTAGAAATTATTATTTTTACCTCATTTTTACTGCGCAAATGTGAATTTCCTCCTAATTGGACACATTTGTGGGGAAAAGTGAGCTTTTGAAGGCTAATGGAGGGCAGAATGCTTTGGACGCTTTGATGGGGAAAAGTGAGCTTTTCCCCATCAAATTTTTTGTTTTTGTTGAACCCTGCAGAGACAAAAGCATGCGACTGGAAATTGGGAGGAAGAGTCCCTGGTCTGTTACCGTTTCGTCGTCTTTGGCGAGGAGCTTGGCGCAGGCCAGGAATTCTTCATACTTTTGGAACGGGATGACGGGCTCTGGCAGCTCTCTGAGGTAGAGCTTCAGCAGGGAGGCCACCGTGTGCACGTCCGTGTTACTGTGGACGGAGAAAAGACGGCGATATCGTCATTTATCATGGAACCAAAAGACTTTTTTCTATTAATTATTAGCTTTTTTTAATTAAAAGCTGCTAATAAATAAGAACAAGAAGAGCTTTAAACTGTTAAATCTGAGCCCAGAGAGAGAGGGGGGATCGGGAAAATGAAAGGCTAGCAATTACAGAGAGTTTGAAAAGATTTACAGTATCTGAGAGGATGAAAAATACCAGCCCTCGCTTTGGGAGATGCACCAAAAGGCAAAAATGGTTTCCAACTTGTGGACCGAGGCTGTAGGGAGCCAAGAGGGAGCAGCTGGTGAGACAGACAGGGGGCTATAAGGGCTAATGGGAAAGGTGAGGGCCACTTCTTGGAGGAGGAATTTGTAGCTACTGCCTTCGCGAAGAAGATTAAAGAAGGCAGAAATGTGCAGCTGACATTGAGGTTGCACTAAGTGAGATTTTATACTCCATGTTCACGGGAGGTGGCGAGCTGTTGATTTACAGCCTGGATACAGAAAGTCCAGGCCAGGATTTATTTATAGCCTCTAGATTAGAAGGAAAGGGGGGGAGAGTGAAAGATGGATGGAGGGGAGACATGTTTCAGTTTTTGTGTATTTCTCTGTCAACTCATATGACGGATGAAGGAATATCAAATCAAGAAAAAGAAATGGAGTGTCTCTGAGAGGTCAGACTTCTGTTTACCAGCCAACAGAGTTGTTCTGTGCAGCTGTCTGCTTATATTCACGCTACTGTGTGAATATAAGCAGATAAGCTGCACACACACGCTTTATCTGCACTATGAGACTAACATTAAGTGGAGAAAAAAAATATTTCTGTTTACCGTGCACTTTACAATGCAGAAATAACGTTTTAAAACCAGACATCCTCTCTGTCAGACACTGTTTTGATACGGGGCCAGACTTGTGTTTAATTTCCCTAATGGTTTGACACACAGGATTTTTCTCCAAGTATCTGCTGAGCTAAACAAGCCGTCCGTGAAATCAATGGCTGCAAAGCTCCGCAATCAAAGTCTCGACCTGTCAAAAGATGGTTTCTCTCCACAGTCGAAGGCGTCCTGCAGCTCTTTGACCAGGTTGGCCTGTCCCGGGAGCCTGAACAGGCCCTCCTCCCGGAGGCCCCACTGCCGGATGAAGTCCACGCACTGCTCCACCAGCATGGGGGCCAGCTTGTTCCCGAATCTGCGCTCGTACCGCACCGTCTCCTCCAGCTTCTGCCCGAAAATCCCTGAAACGCACGACAAAGCCTTTAAAAGAATCCGGTGACGGCGCTTAATGCTCATTCCAGAAGGAATCTGGTCTCCATAATGAAAAATAAGTGTAAAAACCTCCTTTCATGGCACAGCGAGAGGAGCCCAAACCCACAGGGTCCGTCAGAGCCTCCAGAGCAGGTGTCTAATGCTACAGGCCCCTCAGAACATGCTTTAGCTCTCTGTTTACTTATTCAGACACATGAATTTGAAACTAGAATATTAATAAAAGAGCCCAACAGGAACATTAGAAGACAGCGGTTAAATCAGTTTAAACTGGATTTACGTTTTCTAATAGAAAAAAACACACAGACCCATGGGCTTGTTCTAAATTTGGCTATATTTACTTACTTTAGCATAGTATGCTATCACATGATCTATGTAAATTACTGATTGTTTTATTTTCTTTCAGAGCTATATTTTGTGTCAAAGTCTGGCTGTAACCACAGATTCTGTTTTTCTCTGTTACATTAGACACACGTCACTAGGTCAACACACACACACACACACACACAAACTTTGGTACCACTTTCCAATGTTACCTGCATTAATTAGGACCTGGCCTGTTCATGTCAGGGTTACGGTTAGTAAATAACTGGCCAATAAGCACTCAGTAGTATCCAGTCCTTTTTGAGGGGTGTGCCCAGCCCAGGAGACAAATACCCATCACACACGGAGTTTGGGGCTCTTTCCCGACTGAGACCCAGAGAGAGGTTTTGTCCGTGAAGAGCACAGCTGATACACTTAACCGTGTCCAATAAATGTCATTTTTATAAGTTTGATCTACTCTGGTTTGTTCTCAGGTTTCCAACTAAAGAATCGGGTTAACGTGATCATCGAGTCCGACTTCCTACTGAGCTCCTATCGCCTTTTGTCGGGGGCCGTTTGCAGCCCCCTCATGTGGACGCAGCCGCCCGCCCCACAGATTGAGATCTGCATACTTTTCCGGTCTCCAGGTCCAGACAGAGGCTCAGACACATTCATGCACGTGGAACAGCAGAGCACCGCCCCGGTTGAACCCACGAGGTGCATTTCAGCCGAAATAAACACGCCATTACAGGGTGCTGCGTCCAGTCAGAGTTTAAAGGGTCAGCAGTGCTTAAACTGCTGAGTTAGAGGCATGTGGACGGTTTTAAGGTAAAAACGTGTTGCCAAACTCACCTCTCCTGAAAAATCACACATCTGGAGAGCTTCTGGAAGAGCTGCCTATTTATACATCTTTGATAAGATAACACTCCAGAAGTGTAGAGCGTAAAGTGCCAGTATATTAGCATCTTTCAAATAACAAGGACAGGAACCATAAGCAGCTAAGCTGAACTTAAAAGTAGATCTTGTTAGAACTTGAGGCGAGTCAAAGCTTTATGGTTCTCCAAACAAAACAGAGCTGAAGTCACATAAAGCTAAAAAACTAACTAAAAACAGAAACTTTCAATGGCGTAAAATGCAAAAAAAGGCTAACAATTTGTTCCATGTGAGGCAGCAAAAGAACAAATAAGAAAAGAGGACCTCCAAACACTCTGCGAGCAATCAGTTATTTACTTCGACACTCTGGGGTTCGTATAATTTCTCCTTTGTTTTTTTGGACTCGTTCTATGATTTATTTAGCTTTGATAAGTTAATGTTCTTCAAAGAGAGAATTAGATTTTTACTTTTTTTAATTCAACAATGCTTCTTTCTATATGAAAATCTATCATCTTAAAAATCATTGAACATATTAAAGATTTCCAAACCAACATATAGTGCGTCACTAACAACACTTATGTTAAATCCCAGTCACTGCATCATAAATATTTGCTGATGTAGATTTCATATACAAAAAGAGAGGAAACAGCACTGGATGGAAGCCCAGAATCTCCATTTCTTAAAGTCTCATCGGCCATCCTTCAGATCTGCCTGTGGACTCTTTCAATAGTTGGTAAATAAACGTCGACAGGAGCTCGATGCTGAATCTCTTTGGCCCACAAAACCTTTAAGCTCCACGAGAGAAACCCGGCAGAGCTGAAGAAAAACAGACGACGCAGATTTCCGAAGCTCATTTTCAACATCTTAGCTCCATTTGTCAAAGCAGGCTTAAAACCACTGAGGTCAACAGAATCTAAAGGGGCTTTTAGTTGGACGAACACTCAAATGACCATCAGAGAAATCTCACTTTTAAGCTATGCAACTTATTGTAAAGCCTGGAAATGTGATTTTGAAGTTAAGGAAGATCTTTCCAATATCACAAAGTTGATAAAGCCTCCGTATTTAAAAACAGGTGGCATTTACCATGGAATAAATCTCCGAGGATCCAGACGGAGAACCCACAGCTGCACATGTCAGAGTCTGCTCTCCTCTTCAGGCTGCTCAGCACGACAACAAAAAGCATCCGGCGTAACGTGGCTTTGTTTTGGAGCTCCCCGGGTTTCGTTTCATGACTCAGTCGGTCTGTGCTGCCTCTGCAAAACCCCGATGTGTGTGCTCTCTGCACGTTTAAGGGGGGGGGGCGCCATGGAGCCACCGGTCCGGCCGCGTCTTTGACAAAACGGCTCGTCCTTTTGAAGAGCAGTCAACTGCGATAGACGTCAAACTCGCTGCTCTGAAAACAAGAGGGGGCCGGCCCCGGCCGGGTCCATTCACTTTGTCAATGAAAGCTGCCCGCCTGGGCACAAACGCCCCGCACAAAGTAGGCCACTGTCTGCCAGCACGGGCAATGATAACAAACCCAGACGGCACAGCTGGAGCCCCAGTAATCAGCACACCGATTCCACCAGAGTCAGGAACATCTTCATTAAGAGAATTACAGCGTCGGTTTATTTGATGGCTTATCTCATGTCATTTGACGGTTTATCATTTCCTGGTTTACCACACGTAACAGACCTAAACATACATTGAGTTGTTTTTTTTAAATCTGTTATTATGAACTCAAATAGGCAGAACAGAGAAGACAGACTTAAGGGAAGACTGTGATATAAAACATAAGTGGAGATTAAAGCCCAGTTGTTTTAGATGTCATGGTTTCAACCAGCAACATGTGGCATGACGCCATGTGGACGTAGCCGTTTGTTTTTCGTTATTTGCACCCATAAATCATGCAAAAAGTCATTATCAGTACCACCTGAAAAAATAGGATTTTAAGTTTTAAATAAATGTTCTAATTTGTATGATCTGGGGCCTCATTATGGTTCAAATGAGACCAGATTTGTCTCAATACAAATATGAGACAAGATATGAGTTTTTTTTTCCATATAAAGCCTGTAATATAGGATCAAAATATCGCATGTCAAACTGTTAAAATTCTTGTGTTTTTTTTGTCTGTTATGCCTAAGAAAAAAGGCAGGAATTCAAGCTAACTGAAGTTAGTATAAGGAATCTGTATAATCTGCTCATCCGATGCAAATTTCTGCAAACTCAGCAGGAACTTTGTGTCTTTACTGAATTCAGACTTATGGGCCAGCCATTTCTAGGATATTAACAACAATATTAGGACCATTTTTATTGGAGTTTTATGTGTTGTTGGAATACTGTGAACCTTAAAAGTCTTTCTAATTTGTAACTGGTTGACAATCATTGGTGCTTAGTATGAAATGAAGGGATGTTATCTGGTGGTTTATCCTAAAGCTCTGCTATCAAAAGCCATGAAGTTGTCTTTTAAATCAAAGGCCAACAGAGCCATAAAAGCCGTGCTTTTGTTTATACACACCTCCACCGAAAGGGGCCCAGATGACCCTCCGGATGGTCTTCACCCAATCCTCCATGTCATTCTGGGTGCTGGCCATAAGAAGGTAGGTCTCATGGTTGGCTGTCATTCGCTCTCTGTCTCCGCCTGGAACAAAAAATTACAAGTCATTATTAGAGATGCCAATTTTACTCCGTCTGGTTTGAAGTAGCCAGCGTCTCTCAAGGCAAAATCCTAACAGAAACAAACAGAAATAATCAGCCGTTTATATAGTTCAGCCAACATTTATGAGAGGAAAAATAAGCATTTTCCCCTTTCAGCTCTGATTTGATAAAGAACTCACAATGATCTCAGCAGGTACACAGAAAATACACAGCTCTGCCCCCCCCCCCCCCCCCCCCCCCAACAAACCCCCCTCTCTCTTTTTTCACCCCCCCCCTTTGCTCCATTAAAGGATGGCTGAATACCCCCCAGCCCCCAAAGGGGGGGTTGACCAAAAAGACCGGGGGGGGGGGGGGGGTCTGGACCCGCCTCAAAATGCCAAATCTGGCTACAGCCGTCGCCATGACAGCCAAACCTCCTCCTGCTTCATCCACCAAACGCAACCGAGGGATGCACCTGCTCTATTAAAACAGGAGCTGATAAATTAAATGAAAGACAAGAGGATGGGGGGGGGGTCACAGCAACAGCTTAATTATTCATGCCTTTGACCACCAGGCACGCTGCCCCTCCGATTGCATCATAGGCCGAGGTCTGCATAAGAACTATTTATATCCCTGAACACAACACCACGGAGCAGCGGAGGAATCCGGTTTAATCCCAACGATTTCAAACCGCAGAAGTCCAACAGCGAACACGTCGACGAGGTTCAGAGGCACGGATCAGAACCAGGGGAGGCCTGAGCTATCGGGTGCTAAACGCAGACAGATTCATGCTTCCTGTCAGTCTGGACGAGACCTCATTAGCAGCCGGCAGATGTGAGTTCCCCCCCTCGCAGCGTTCAACAAGTCCAAAATGTTTACAGGCCGTCACAAACACGCGCTCACAGCCACGAACCAGCAGGAAATACCAGGAATGCATTTGAAGCTGTCATCTGTGGGGAAAAAAAGAGGTTTAAGAGGAGAAAAGCCCTGTGGCCCAGTTCTAGTTTACCTTTTATACAGGTATGTTTACACGGGAGTGCATCCCATAATGGAGCAGCTGGTTTGTACGGAATTACTCACTGGTTTGTGGGTGGATACATAAGGTTAATTTAATAATTTATGTCTCAGGATGGTGTCTTCTTCAATTAAAAGTCTATTTTCAAAACCATTTGCCAGGTTATCTTGAAACAGAAATGATGAAATGAAAAACATAATGAGCTGAAGTCATAAACAACTCAGTGCACAATCTGGTTTATCTCTGTGGGCATTTCTTTTATGGTTAACTACACTTTTTTTCAAACTGATGAGAACAAATTGATCCACTGGACAGGAATCTTGATTAGTAAAATGTGAAGAAAAACATTTGGTATGAGAAGCTACAGAGCTGCTTCAATAGCAATAAAACAGAAGCTCTCCCCTTTAATTCACTCAGCACTAAAAGGCCAAAGACATGATGAAGGTGCCTGTTTTACGCCCCCAATCCAACTCTCCATTTAAAACACCAAGTTTCCAATCCAGACGCACTCCTCTGCCCCAGTGGGGCTCTTACTTTTAATGCTCTAATAAGTCTAATGCGCTCTTGTTTTTACTCCGGTGATTAGTCACTACCAGGCATTGATTGTGCCCAGAAGTCCCATTAATTACACCTTGAATTAAGCAGACAGGGCTGGTTTAAGCGGGTCCCTGGCTGCCCGTCGCGTTACGGACGCGCGGAAAACACCGGATCAGAAATGATCCCGGTGCGTAAAAACAAAACCACGAAGGGTCCGGCTCACCTTCCCACTGCAGGAACCACGTCCACGCTCGCATTTAAAGCCGCCACGCACGGCGGAGTGTCCGTAATGCCTCTAACCAGCGGCGGAATGAGGAGGGAGAGGGGATTGGAGCGCCTCCTCCCCTCAGTCCGGCGTCCGGACGCAGCGTCCAGCCTCTCGGTCAGACGCAGGCCATCCGGGCTCTGAACACATTCAGTCCCTCAGATGTCCGAACAGGATCAGAGGAGGAAACGTGAGAGCATGTGGACGCGTTCGCGTGCCCGTGCGGAGTGGTCTCACCGTGTCAGACAGACACTGAACCACAGGGCCGTGCGCAGCTTTTTCTGGGTCCGGAGCAAGTGCCCCGTTTAGTGCTCCACCAGCAGCAGCTTCCCAAAAAAATAGAGGGGAAAAAAGACTTATATCCCACATCTGGGATGTTGGCTGAGTGTGGTGTGAAACAGCCGGATTGTGTAGCTTTTGATCAAAACTGAATTTTTTAAGTTTCTGAGGATTGTTTTTCACATTTTGGGTTAGTGCATGGCACCAGTCCTTAAAGTTATTGGGTCAAAGTTAACATTATCTCATTTGCCATAAAGGAAAAGGTAGTGTGGGTCATTTGTCCTTTAAATATATGCAATAAATCAATATATTATTATAGGAATGTAATGAATTAGTGTTGGTCATTTTCTCATAAACTTTGGACAAACGGACAATAACTGAAAAAGCCATTTGAAAAATTGAAGCACATTAAAAATTAATGTTATCACAGTCTTATTTCCGAAACAAAAAGGGAAAACAACCTATCGGGAGACCCCAGAACGTAATGGGTGAGGAGGCTGCCATCTTGAATCAAGAGCAAGTCTTTCCTAAAGGGAAGGAGGTAATTTAGCACCTCAGAGAAGACCAGAATTGTGTACAAAATCAATTGCAGCAATCTGATTAGCAACATTTTTTGAGGTTCAAGGCTTATCAACACAGAAACATTGCCTGATAGAGAGGACGTCCATTCCCTGCTGGTATATGTAGATATGGCATTTCCACCACAAAACCGCGTCCTGTGACTTTTGACTCACCATGAACTGCAAATTTAGCCATAGACAACTACCTAAAACACAAAAAGCCTCATATAAACAACGAATCAATCTGATTCATACCATACACCATGAATTACATTTAAAACTTTTATATTCAGCTAACATCTACTCAATATAGTTTTTTTACCAAATTACATTTGCTAAAATCAAATTCCTGCTTTATGTGTTCCATGAACTGCCATTTTCTCCTCACTGGGTCAAAGCAGCTTTACTCCAGCTGCTGATGGAGGTCTGTGGAGGACAATAATTGCTTGTAGAGGCCAGTTTGTCATCTAAAAGGTTCCTCATCAGGCTCCGTTGGTGCTGATTGTCACGCAGAGTTAACGGCTGGTTAGTGGCCACCGGCTTCCTTCACCACACTTGAACTCAATTAGCCCCTCCGTAACATGCATGGACGGAGAAGGTTCCCCTAAAAACAAAATGATGCTTGTGAAGCCGTTAAACAAGCGTGCAAAAGGACTTTGCGGCATACCAGGAGCATTACAGCACGCTCCCGTTCCTCCTGCCACTTCCTGTTGATGCTCCGCTCTCCCTCGCCATAAATGAGTTCCCCGTATGGTTAATAAAGCGGGAAGGGGGGGGTGAGAGCGTTTAAAGCATCTTGTCAGTACATTTAAACAACACAAAACTGATTTAGATACTGTTTTAAACCACTGTTAAACAGATAACCTCCTACAGGTGAACTCTTCCATTTTACAGTGGACAAGACAGAATATAAGTTCATGTGGACAAAACTCAACATCGGCCCTCTAAACAAAATGACTGGCTGCTATTTGAGCTCGTTACAGGCTGTGGTTAAGCTGCCTACACGCATTAGCCTCCTCCACACCATTCCCAGACTGCCCACGACGTGACTGGCACTGGGCCTTAAAAGGTTCGGCCACCGCTTACAGCAGAGAGCCTAATCTGTGCGGGGACACGCGGGAGGAGTCGGTCCGGGGTGTTTCCCCCAAAGCGTGACTGGACACGAAGAGACAGCCGTGACTACTGTCACCATTCCCCCGATTCGCCATGCTTCCTTACACGTTTCCTCAGTTTTTCGGAGGAAATGAACAGTTGTCAGCTTTACAGATGCCTGCAGACGTGCACGTCAGAGGACAGTTTGCATTAAAGGAGCCTCAAAGATTAAGATTCCCTATTCGTATGAAGGTTAAAGAGGATCAAAATTCTCTTGTTCAAAGGAAATTCTGCTTCTTTGATACAAACAAAAGCAAAAAAAAATCATTATGGTGGCACAATGAGACAAAAAGGATGAATCCATTCAATCACAAAGATGGATAAAGCAAAGGAAAATAAAAAAAATTCACTCAAAGGAGTTCACACGTGAGCGGCTTGATGTAAATTAACCAAATGAGTGACACCTATATCCACCCCGTCGTGCCGGTGTCACCGTGGGAGACGGGCTGAGAACAACAACTGCCCATTCCAGCTGTGACCGGTGGGTTTAACGAGCGGACAGCTGCAGGGTAGACTTTAACCAGCGGCCCGAAACAGGTGGGAGACAACAAAGGGTCCCACTGTGCTCCCAAATACCTGGAGCCCTCACAGGTTTCACTCAAAGCCATTCCTGTGGAAGAGCGGGGAAACCACACAGGGAGCCCCCATTCTGGAGCAGGCCGCCGGACAACAGGATCCCAGAGCGGATGGTTTGGTTTTGGGCCCATAAACAACATTAATCTCAGGCCACCTGCTCTGGCTGCTCCCCGTCTGCAGCTACAGGCAGGAAGCGCTCAGAGATTCCTCTCGTGTGAAGGAGTTTCTGCTAAACGGGGGAAAAGTTACGAGCCGGTCTATCTGACTGACAGTGGAAAGTTCCCACAATACTGTAAAATGACAACACTGTGCATATCTGCTGTGATTAAGTAAAAGAAAACCTAAACCTGATGCACAGAAGATGTAGATGAAGCATCTGTCCTTCACATTCATGCATGAACATGAGCCAATCAGGCGAGTCAAAAGCTGCGTTTTACATTAAACCAAAAGATGCTGATGCAAAACATCTGAAACCTGCCGGCAGCTAATAGAAAAACCTCTCCAATTCAGCCACAAATAAACAGTCTGCAGAACCAGACCTTTCTCCTCTTTTTATTGCAAAGTTTCTGAGGATTACTGGCAGATATCCCACAAAAGAGATATAAAGATTAGTTTAGAGTCTACTGAGATTTTCCGGAAAATCTAAATTTGTTCTAAGAAAGCTTTAATTTGTATAAAAACTTGAAAAGGTTGCTCTTTATGCTTAGGATGAAAGATCTGATGGTATGAGGGCAGCATGAGGTTTGAGAGGCAAAAGCATGCGTGTTTCCTCTGGTTTGTGTAGTCAGGTTTGATATGAACGTCTGTACCGGAGTAGTGTGAATCAATACAGGCACGAGGTTTAATCTGATGTCTCTTACAGGGGCTTGGGCCGGCTGTTTCTCCGTCCCGTTTCCTGAATCATAATGAAGAGCAGATTGTCAGCATGTTGCTGCTATTTACGACCACTCAGCGGATAATGTTTTGACTGAGAGGAACACTGTTTAAATCACGGAGAGACTGTTTCTCTCTATCCTCAGAGGAGTTTGAAATCCAACGAGGTGACAAATTCATCTCACTCGAAGAGTCTAGCCACAAAAATGTGGTTTACAAACCGCCTCTGCTTCATACTAAAAAGGAAGTTGGTGTCAAAAGGGTTAAAAATGAGCTAAAACATTTCTATTGGGTAAGTGGAAGTCTTCTTGTACAAATGCTAACTTCTTCCAGACTTTGATTGTGTTTCGTGCCAAGTGGAGGAAACAGCTGCTGCTGGCCCAGAAAACAATGCGGACGATGGAACTACCTCGTTTAGCTCGAAAAGACAGAAATACGAGTTGCTTTCTTCCAGTCTGCTCTTGTGTTTGCTGAGCCGGAGATTAAGAAGTGCATCCATTATTGTCTGTTCTGGGTTTTTTTTGTCTGCGCGAGTCCTCTGGTTTGCTGCAAGTACGGGCAGGTCCAGGTTCAATAATGTGTCTAATGATAGTCTTCTGAGAAGTCCGAGCATCTCGAACACCCCAAACACAACAGGAAGTCGCTCGCAGGCAGCAGCCAATAGCAAAATGTGCATTCACGTAAACTCAGAAAAGAAAATCACAATTATATAGGGAGGATTCAAGCACCTTTTCAGATTCTCTGGTCAGGATTTCCATCACCAGATGATCTAATGCCACTGCGAATGCAGCCGTCACAACACGGCCAGTGGTGAAAATCTGAAGATAAACCTCCATTGTGGTGTGTAAATGAGATGGTGTGCTTATCAAAAGGCTGAAAATGCTCAAACAGTGTTACCTTGACGTGAGGGTAGCATACCAGATAATCCATACTGGGGTAAACTATGAACCGCCTGCTGAACCACCTCCATGCCTCGGCCTGGCTCACACTCTCAGTTCCAGAAAAAAAGAAGCTTCCTGAGTCCCGGTCAGACCTGAGGATAGGAGGTCTGGAGTGGAGGAGCTGCTCTGCTGGTTTCTGGGTGAGTGAGTGAGTGAGTGAGTGAGTGAGTGAGTGAGTGTGTGTGTGTGAGTGAGTGAGTGAGCACAGCTGAGAGGGTGTGAAAGAAAAAGGGAGGGGGCAGGGCAGGGATGGGATGGGAGGTTTAAAGAGGGGGTTGGTGAATATTCACACACACTTAAGCACTGTATGGGAACAATGGGCTGATCTTTCTGAAGGCTTTGGACTAAATACACCACAGTTTGACTAAGGGCATAACCCCCCCTAAGAAAACATGGGATATCCCATTAAAGCCACAAGCTTTAGTTTTTTTTAACATCTTCCACAAATATAAATACAAGCAAATAAATGACCCAATAATGGCCTTTAGATTGAGTCATCAAATGCAAATTTGGAGTTTAAAACTTTCAAACTTACTTTTTCTTTGAAACTTCAGCTTTTGAAGTACATATTTTTCTTGTGTATCTTGCACACCAAGTGCAACTGTTATTTAGTTAGAAATGGTTAGTAAGAGAGCTGAAATCAGTGTCTTTTAAGCAATCCAAATAACAAAAATAAATTATTTAACAGCTTTCCATCCTCTTCTTTGTAAAAGTGATTGAATATTTGCTGCATCCTGCTTTGATCACATCTAATCATGTTTTCGTTTCAATGTTCTTAATAGAAAAATAAGATTTTTTCACTCAGAATCTTTGTAAACATAAATCCATGTCTCTAACCAACAGGATGTGCTTGTTGGTCTAATTATTGATGCAAAGCCAAGTGTTTCAAACGTTTGAAGATAAATAATCTTGTGTTTTGCCCGTAAAATGGTTCGGTCTAATTCCTGGCCCACTACTCCAGGTCCAAGTGGCACAAGCACCGAACAAATGGCTGCTTCGCTTTACTTTGAATAAAATATGTTTCAATCAATCTGTCTTTTCAAGATTAAAGCCATTGTAAGTCACACGTTTGATATTAAAGTAAATTACTTTAAAAAAGTTTTTATACCAATCTAACCAACCTGTCTTATCTCATAAACAAAACTCTAAAAAACCCACTGACTATTTCAGGAGACATCCGATGCTTGTTTGGCTGAGCTGAAAATGTTAAACTATGAAAAATGTACATCTTAGAAACCAAATATTGATCTTTCTCATTGGTCTATTTGCGCAGCCTGGTGGTGTGCGGCTACTCGCTCTGTGACTCCGTCCCCCCCCGTGTCTGCAAAGCGCGTCCCATTTCCCCTGACCTGTACGATATCGGTGGCTAATTGTCTTCCTGGTGTCATGGTGGTCCCTGCCTGTCAATAGACATAATCCGAGGAGAGACAACACAACATGAGCCTTCACCTGAGTCCTCCGAGATATCATCTGCCGGAGAACACAGACTCCATAGAGTTAAGACGGCTATCCATTACCTCCCGATGCCCAATGAGAAACAAGCCAGTCTCGGCGGTCGGGTCAAAGAGGACGGGGACCGACTCTTTACGGAGCCCCCCTCGGGAAAGGGGTAATCATGGACAGAATGGACAGTAATGGCCACATCAACTCTGGTTTTATGTTTTCCTGAAAGGTTACCTGATATCTCGACTGCTCCAGACAACAAAATTACACATAACAGTCCAGGAAGCCTGGAATGATAACTCATTATAAATCCTTATCTATGTTTTAAAAAAAATAATCCAGTTAATTCGGGTGCTCTCATTCTTTTCCACGTCAGTGGTGAAAAGCAGCCGTTTTACTGCATTTCTGAGCGAATCTTTAGCAGTTTTTTTTGGGAGGACAGGCCGGGAAACGCTCAGGGGAGGTCACCGGGCTGTCAAAAAGCCAAGCGTCTCCTTTCTGATTTGATGCCAACTAAATAAAGAGCCATGTCTGTGTGTCCTGCCAGGGGCCGCCGTAAATATAGCATTATGTAAGGGGAATCAGTTTCCACTTTGGAATAAAAGGAAACACTGCTCGGACTGGATTGGGAGCCAGGAGCTTGTAGCATGGGTTGGCACGCTGACCAGAAAGACTGCAGACTCACACGGACTGGGGTTAAAGCGGGCCGGGTCGTCCACGGCAACAGCAGCCCCTTTTTTTGCAAGATGCATCTTATTGATATAATTCACCACAGCAAGCACATCTAATCAGCATCTGCCCGAGGAAAAGGAGACATTAGGTTACAACTACGCTAATATAAGTCCTGAACTTTCCTAAAACCGGTGCTCATAATTCACTGTTACTGAAACAGCTGTCTGGCCTCAGGGAGGAAAATTGAGATTTCTTTTTTTGGATACAAGACACAAAGAGTCATTTTGTCTTAAAATCGCAAAAAGCAGAACTGACTTATGCAAATATAAATCACGAGGGACGTTTGTGGAGTCTAGTAACCACAGAAATTCTGTTGAGCCCATTTATTTCTGCGTTGACGAGGAGCAAAACATAGGATTGGTCCTGGAGAAAACCCCAACAACACTCTGAGGTTTGTTAAAATACCAGAATCCTTACAAGTGGACCCTTCACAGCTCCGACCGGGGGATTAAGACCCCATTAAAAGGCGAGGAGTGTGGACTGTTTTGAGGCCTGGCAGCTGTCGGCAGGAGATGCTGAAACATCACGGATGCCACCAAAAGGGGAAGCTGCATTTCATCCAGACAAAAGGTGAAAGCCCCGAGTGGGTCCACAGGAGAGCTCCCTAAAGATAACCGGACACTTTTAGCCGCCTATTATCACCACACTTGAGGAGAACTTATCTTTTGTGTATAATCAGACACAGTCTGACGGGAGGCAACATGTCTGGACGGTGCATATACGGTCATAAAAACATGTAAAGTATGTAAAACTGTTGAGAGGAAGAAGATTGACTAACTAAAAATACATGAAAAGATGCAACTGAGAGAAGAAAAAGAACCTGAGACGCCATTTCTTTGGAGGATGTTTTTTTACGAATCTGCTTTGATCTTTGCTTCCATATGTGTGCTAGTAGTTGAAACAGAGGCAGGCTGATCACTTTTCAGTGGGAGAGCAGGGTGTGAGACCTCGTTCAAAGAGTGGACGTGACAAAGTGCCGGTTGCATTTCCTAATAATACCTTCTGAAGTCACCTTTCAGCTCGGATGAGGGCTTCAGGGGAGG